CAATACCTCTATGGAAGGAAGTTTTTAATCCGAACCGACCATGCCGCCCTTAAATGGTTGATGCAGTTTAAGAATCCAGAGGGTCAGATAGCCAGGTGGATCGAACGACTCCAAGAATATAATTTTAAGATTGAGCACCGGGCCGGAGTTAGCCACCGAAACGCTGATTCTCTTTCCAGAAGGCCATGCCCAGCAGAGTGTTCTCACTGCAACAAAACGGAATCCAAGGAAGCAGCAGTGCTAAGAACGACGGTGGTCCACGACGACTGGACGCCTACCAAGATCAGGGAAGAACAAGAGAGAGATTCAGTTATACAGAAAATCCGAAAATGGAAAGAGGAAAACCGTCGACCACCTTGGCAAGAAATATCGAACCTAGGCTCAGTAGTGAAGACGTATTGGGCCCAGTGGGACTCATTTATCATGGAAGATGGCTTGCTCAAACGAGTCCTGGAAAATGATGACGGTTCAGAGAAGAGAAGACAGTTGGTGATTCCAAAGAGCAGAATAGCCGAAGTACTTCGTCAGTTACACGACAGTCCATCAGGAGGGCATTTTGGTGTGAAGAAGACCCTTCAGCGAATTCGGGAACGGTTTTATTGGATGAACAGTTCCGACGATGTAAAAGACTGGTGTAAGAAATGTACTATTTGTGCTACGAGTAACGGGCCTTATCGAAAAAGGAGAGCTCCTATGAGACAATATAATGTTGGAAGCCCGTTTGAGAAATAGCTTTGGACATTGCTGGGCCGTTTCCAGAAAGTGATAATGGAGGCAAGTACATGTTGGTAGTAATGGATTACTTCACTAAGTTGGTCGAGATTTACGCACTTCCAGACCAGAAGGCGGCCACCGTTGCAGATAAGTTGATCCAAGAATATATCAGCCGATTTGGAGTGCCTTTGGAGATCCATAGTGACCAAGGCAGGAACTTCGAAAGCGATTTATTCCAAGGAATATGTGATAGACTAGGTATGAAGAAAACAAGAACTACGGCTTATCATCCGCAATCGGATGGTATGGTAGAACGAATGAATAGAACAGTTGGCAAGTATTTGACAAAGATGGTGTCCGATCATCAGCGAGACTGGGACCAATATCTCCCGTTCTTCACAATGGCCTACAGATCTGCTGTTAATGAATCAACAGGCCAGACACCAGCCAGAGTCCTATTCGGACGCGAGATGCGACTACCTTGTGATCTAGAGTTTGGGTGTCGACCTGGAGAAGATGTAGCAGGTGAAGATTATGTGATCGAATTGCGAAGAAGAATGGACGATGTACACGAGTTGGTCCGTTCCCATCTCCAAATCGCTAGTGACCGAATGAAGAAACGGTACGATACACAAGCCGAAAAGGGGTGTTTTAAGAAGAACGATAAAGTCTGGCTTTATAACCCCAAAAAGCGAAAAGGTTGTTCTCCCAAATTGCAGCAGTTTTGGGAAGGTCCATACCTCATTATGGAGAAGATCAATGATGTTATTTACCGAATAAGCAAGATCCCGAGAGGAAAGCCGATGATAGTACACCATAACCGGTTGGCGTCTTTCGAGGGTGACCACGACGTAGATGAAGAAGTGGAAGTAAACCAAGTCCAAGATGTGTCTGACCTCACGTTTGAGGAATTCATGGGTGCCTATGGAGGTACCGGTAAAGCAAGACATGGTGTTACCACTGAAGAAAGGCAAGATCTACTCGCGCTTCCCGATGACTATTCACTGGCCCTTACCATCCCGGCCAGTATCAAAGATGCACCAGGGTTGGCATCCGTCTTTCGAAGGAAGTTTGGTCGAGTTGCAGAACTTCAATGCCAAGTGCCAGCTCCTGGTAAAACCTTGAAACTTCAAGATGCATCACGTTACCTTTTCTACCTGGTAACAAAAGACACTGCCCGTGACCAACCTACCTACCGAGATGTATGGGAAGCCTTACTTCAGTTGAGAGAGCACGTACTAGAGTCCGACGTGCAAAAGTTAGCCATGCCAAAGTTAGAGTGCCACCAATTAGATTGGAGGGTTATGCGAAACATGGTGGAGGAAATCTTTAAAGACACCGAAGTCCAGGTGTTAGTCTGTTGCAATCCGCATAGTTACTGGTGCGGAGAGAAAACCGTCCCTTGTCATTTCTATACAACTGGAAGTTGTAAAAGAGGGTCCAGTTGCCGATATCAGCATGCCGCTCCAGTTCCAGTCCCGACAAGGTTCCAGGAGGAACCATCTTTTAAGAGGGGGGCAATGTTACGATTTTAAATGTTATGGCATATAGAACTGTAAATATTTTATGACTAATTCTTTTTTATTGATTCTCGTAATTTGTAGGTCAAAATATACCTGAGCTTAGCTACCAGTTGTTTACCAGAAATCTCTAGACACTAATTTTAGTGAGTCATCCACGTCCAAGTCCGCCGAATTCTCTAGATGACACAGTTGTGTATATAAATGAAAGATTTTTATTTGGCAGTCAGTTATAAGAAGCTCGCGAACCGCGATATTTAAATGTAACGAAACGTTAATAAATTATTTGTAATTAGGATTAATAAAGACTTTAATAAATTCGTAATTAGTTATCGTGAGTTTTAATAAATTAGAATATAGACAATAAACTAGAATAAAGAACTATAAATTAGAACTATATAAACTCAACAATATCCAGCCCCGAAAAAAGTCAATCCAAACATAACCAGCCTGTCGAAGAACAAGTTACTCCACAAAGACAAAATAATGAATCTTCTAAAGATTTGCTTATGGACGTGCTCTCAGCAAGCACAGGTTTAGGTCTATTTTCTCTGGAACAAGTTGTTCCCTATTCAAAAGCACCGCAAAAACAAATGAAGCAACAGAGTAAAAATAAAGGTAAAACTGTCATATTAACAAGCACACATATTAACAAGCACACCTTATAAAGAAGAATTGGAGACATCTCTAGCTACCAGAAAACCAAAAGTTGATGTTAAAAATGTTAACTCAAAGACCAAGATTAAGTCACTAAAGAAGAAAACCGTAAAAACAGAAAATACTTCCAAGTAAGTTAAAAACATACAACCTGATGATGAAAGTGTCAGTAGTGTCAGATGAGGAAGGCTTTTATTGCAACAATAGATATTCTTCAGACAAAAAAGGAGAAGGCTGGATACAATGCTGCAATTGTAAAAAATGGGGACATGAGGCTTGTGCAGGAGCTGACAGCGATGATGATGTCTTAATTTGTGAATATTTAAAAGTTAAGAAAAATGTTCGGCATTATTATTCCTATTAATATTTAAGCAAAATGTTAGGTATTATTATTCCTATTATTATTTAAGAAAAATGTTCTGTATTATTATTCTTATTAATATTGGATTTTTTTGGGTTAACCCATCGTTATTTCTTATTTAGTTAATTGCTCTTTTTCGTTCCTTTTGAATTTTTGAGTGTAAGTTGTTGTATTTTGCATAAAAATAAAAAAATTAAACTTAAAAAAAAGAGAAATTTAATTAAAATAACAGAAAAATCCTATCCCATTTTACCCCCACGATGTATCTCGTTTTACCTACACAGTGGGGGTAAAATGGGAAATTATATTAATGTCAAATTTGTGCATATAACTTTTTTATTCATTTATAAAAAAAATCATTTTTTGTGCTTTTGATAGAAAAATAATGAGTTTTCGCTGTGCCAAAATATGAGTAGCCTCCAATACATAGTTTTGGTGTTATACAGCCTCAAACGTTAAGTATCCCATTTTACCTCACCTTCTCTTACCTAATACATAATACTTATTTTTTACAAATGTAACCGTTACACATAATTATAATAACATATAATTATAATAGAAAACGACGCCATCGAAGCAGTCGAACTCTATAGAATATACCATGAACCATATATCGTAAAACACATTAAGATAGGACGTCTGAGGTGGGTAGGCCATGTAATGAGGATGGAGCAAACCGACCCAGCTAGAAAAACGCTCCTTGATAGACCTATTGGTCAAAGAAGAAGAGGAAGACCCAGAACAAGATTCCTAGATAACATAGACCAAGATATGAGAAATATGGAAATACGTGCTTGGCGATGGATAGGGACGACTGGAAGAGAATTCTTGGGGAGACTAGGACCCACGCAAGATTTGTAAAGCCAAAATCATGATGACATAATTATAATTCAGAGTTTATAAAGCACTTGATAAAGCATGTCTTTCAAATATTTAAACAGGCTTGCAAATTTCCCAGTTTCACTCAACATTTCTTGTATATTACCTCTCAACTGGTGTTGTTTTCTTTTAGTAGAAATATGTGGACATTCTTTTATGTTAAGGGATTGCTGCAATGGCCGCATGCAGGTGGATCGGTAGATGCCATTAGAAAGTATGCTGTATCGGTAGATGCCATGTGTAAGACTAGTATGTTCAAGTCTTAATCTTCTTAGAATAATCTTGTGTCTTCTGGGCAAAGGTGGTCGCTCTAAGGAAGGTATAACTGGTTGTATATCGTGTAAAAGCCTTATCTTTTAATTAATGCCTCTGTAATAAGGACATTTTAAAGTTATTGTACTGCAATACCGCCCGTTCCCCTAATTTTTTATAGATAACAACATAATTATATTCGTAACATAGGTATATCTTGCCATATATATAAAAATCTGACTAATTAAAATAAATCTAAAATTTTAATATAATTACGTATGTCGTATAGTATAAATAACTACTATGAAGAAACTACGTAATAAATACGTAATTATAAACTGTTTTTAAATCAATATAAAACACACAAACACTACTTTTATGAAAAACTAAGATTTTTAGATAGAGTTATTAGCACAATTATTTTTCTTAGTGTATAACATAATTACCTACATTGTATAAAAAGAAAACGGCTTTCCGAATCAGAACGTACGGCGCAACCCCTTCCGCCAACCCACCCCCTGACACGCGACCTGTCATTCCGCCAGATTTATATCCGTTTATCCGCACCTTGTGCGCGCCTTCCATTCCGCCGCGTCCTCTATTGATCTCAGTCGGCCATGGTCACCTCAATCGTCTCCGCTGTTTCCGTTCTCGGGCTGTTAGTGCTCCAACTTTCTGCTCTGCCCTTCGAAGACGACGGCCAAAGGGACACCAAGGCCTTGTACGATGAAGTTAGGCAATTGCTGCAACTCAACCAGGGATATTTGCAGGTAGGAGGTTTTGAGTACGGAATTTGTTTGTGTCAGGAAATTAGTATTTATATTGTTAGAATTGGTGTTAAGGTAGAAAGAAGCGGTTTTTAATTAGTGCGTCAAATTCTTACGCAATCCTAAATTATAATATCAACCAATTATGTGTAAATATAAATATTAAAAATCAAAAATGTATATAATATGTGATGGATTGTTTATATTCACTTTCGTCTAACCTGAAGGATAAAATATTTAACATGAAGATAAAAAATCAGTAGTTTCTGATAAAACATATGAGAAAATTAGTCAATCAATAATTTTAAACAGAGGTAACATATTTTATATTAAAATTATCATAAATATTAAACGATTTTACATAATACGATTGTGAAAATAGTAAACCTGGTTTTAGTATAAACTTCTTGGTCTAATTTTGACTGCCAGTTCGTTATAATAATTTTTACTCACACTTAAAAGACTGAAGAGTTCTGAAAGAGACAAATTACCTACTTTAATTTTCCCGATAACTAGAAAAGTGTTTTCCCGCTAGAATGTGTCGCCTCCGTGTAACTGTCACGTATTTAAATTTCAAAATAATTTATTATAATATAATAAAAATTAATATAGATCATACATAATATACATCAGTGGCGGCTACTGATGATTTTGTTTATAGTCTATTTTTATGTATGAGAGAGTAATAAAACAATAAATTATGTATGCAAATCCCTAAACTGTTGACACGGGTGACTCAATGAAAAACAGATATTTGTCAACAAGTTTACAGAAGTATATAGGAAAACAATTTTAAATTGAGTATGACCACCAGGTATAAAGGTTGGAGCAGACTAGAATACCATAGTTGTGAGGGTTACTAATCCCTAAATAAGGTTGCCAGTGTCGGAGTGATGGAGGTTAACAGGTACTAATGAATTTGCAAGAAATGTAAGATGTTTATTTTATTGGTTATATATAACCAATAAAAGTTTAATAAGTACCTACCTATTTGCAAAATAAAGTTTAATTCTTTAGATAAAATAAAACGTTTTATTTTATCTGAAATGAGTGTATCCCACGAAGTAAGGGTTTCAACAATCAAACATTTAATTCTTTAATTCCAGGAATCTGCGACAGTAATTGACTAGATAATTACCTTCTAAACTTATTCCACAGAAAATGTGATAGTGGGTTTTTCCATTTTGTAGGAAGGTCCAAGTGGCGTATTCAAATTCTTAACAGTTCACTAAAAGTAGGTACTTCAGTTGCAAGGTGCAGTTTATTGTGTATACTAGTGTTATGGAAAATTTGGAAGTGCCGTGTAAACGCCGAAAAATTGATCCTTTAACAGTTAATGAAAAAACATTAATATTTAATTGTTTTAAATCGTTTACAGACAAACGTTTATGTGAAAGTGTTGATGAAACCGTTGAGTTAGTTAGCAGTACACTTGGTATTGGGAAATCTACGATTTACAGAGTTATTAAAGAAGAGAAATATGGTAGTTTTCAAATGCCACGTAATGCTCCAGGGAAACTAAAATTTCAAATAGAATATCATTTTAAAGAAGGACTTCGACGGAAAGTGCATGAATTCTTCTTTAGACAAGAATTTCCAACATTGGATAAAGTTCTTGTCTCAGTTCGAGATGATAAGGATTACCCAGAAATGAGTCGAAGTACGTTATGGAAACTTTTAAAAGAATTAGGCTTCCGCTGGAAAAAGAATCCCAGAAAGTCTATTTTATTAGAAAGAAGCGATATTGTCATATGGAGAAGACATTTTCTAAGAACCATAAAGGAAATGAGAAACCAAAAAAGAAAAATATTTTATCTTGATGAAACATGGATCAACGAGGATCATACACCAAATAAATTTTGGCAGGATGAAACTGTTACAAGTCAAAGGCACGCTTTTGTAAATAACTTATCTACTAAACCCACCATCAGGAAAGGGACGCAGGCTGATAATAGTACACATTGGCAGTTCAGACGATTTTGTTGAAGGTGGTTTATTAACTTTTGAATCAACTCGTACCGGTGACTACCATGAAGACATGAACGCTGATGTCTTTTAAGAATGGTTCGAACAAATGATAGATCTTCTTCCTAAGAACTGTGTAATAGTAATGGATAATGCAAGTTATCACTTAAAGGAACTTTATTCGTTGTGTGCCCTTTATAAAGAAAAATTTAAAAAATACGAAATTGATGAAATTGCCAAAAATCGTGGAATGACAGTACTTAGATCCCCACCATATCATTGTGAATTAAACCCGATTGAACTGGTATGGGCACAGATAAAGAGTGAAGTTTCAAGAAAAAATACCACTTTTAAAATTCATGATGTTAAACAGTTGTTTTTGGAGGCCGTAAATAATGTAAAACCTGAAAACTGGGAAAAGGCAGTAAATCACACTAGCCAGTTATTATAAATCTTGGTTCTGAAAGTTCATCTTCTGAATCTGATTTGGATTTGTAACAAGTAGCTGTAAGTTTTATATTAATATTTTTATTCATCTATTTAACATACCTTAGACGGTTTTAAAGACTCTTTTTCTCTTTTGTAATTTTTAAAAATTAAAAAAAATGTGAATTTTTTAAAACCCTTTTTAATGTAGGCCAGTCAGTTCTAATATAGTGTGTGATAAAAGAGGTCACTTTTGTTTACATACACATAACACTTTATAACACTGAAATAATTCTTTTATTTTTTACAATTATTAAAAGTAATTTTTCAATTAATCTTGAGCACGCCCATGGAGTGGTCGGAGCTACCAGTTAAAATTATGCTAATTACTCTCTCGTTCATAAAAATAAACTATAGTGGAGCGCTATTTCAAGAATACAAAAAAATAAATAGGTAGGGCAGCAGGGGGCTAGTTGTAATAATTTTCATAAAATCAAATATATCTTGACAGCGATTTTCTCAACTATTACTAATTAAACACTCAACTTGTTCTAAATAAAATTGAACTAAAGAAAAGTTGAAATGACTGGTATTTATTAATCAACGAGCATGTTACCTACAAAAGTGCAGTGTTAAAACTTACATCGCGGTTGGGGATGGTTCTAACATATATTGGGGCTAGTATAACAGTACGCAAATTAAGAATTTTCAAACAATTAAAAATTATGTTTTCCAGTTTTTTAACAAAAACAAGTAAACTTTTTTTGTTATACTTTGCAAGTACTACTGGTCTGCTAACTGATATGTGTTTTTTTATTTTGCGAATAACTTCCAACATTTGTTATTGGATTGATGCAATATATATTTGAAATAATGCAAGCTAGGGATATATCGATTCACTTAGCTACTACTATAGCGCCTTACTAATAGTACTTTCATAGTATCCTCTTTCCTTTTCTGGATATCTTTTTTAGCTAATAAAGAATAGCTTCTAGGTAAACGGTTTTGCCTTATAATCCCCGTGCCTCAGTATCCTTTCAAACGTAAATATGACAATTAACTGAAGGTAAAAAATAAATTGTCAAAGTAAAATAAGAATGGAAAAGATTTCAGATTATCAAGTAGTGCTTCTATCATTTTCACCAGTGGTGCTGTCGCTTTTATAAAACAACAATAACAACGTACAAAATTATATCCATAATACTGTCTAGAAGACTAACTTCATACACAGAGGAAATAATGTGCGACTACCAAAGCGGATTCAGACCGGGAAGATCGACCATAGACCAGATATTCGTCATATGTCAGGTGTTCAATCAGAATTGGCAGCACCACGTTGGGGAATTCCTCATTGACATCCGGCTTAGACAAGGAGATGCTCTCGCCCTCCTGCTATTTAATTTTGCCCTGGAACATGCGGTAAGGAAAGCTCAACCACAACTGACAAACGGATTTGCCACCCAAGGATCAAAAACACTATTGGCGTTTGCGGATGACGTGGACAAAATTACACAATCCACCAGAGATGCAAAAGAAGTTTTCACCCTATTGGGAGCAATCATAACAACTGAAAATAAATATAAAAAGGACGTGACAGTCAGGATCATTGCAGGAAACAGGGCATATTACTAATTAATGACCGTACTTAAATCAAAAATACTCTCAATAACAGCAAAAATAAGAGTATATAAGACAATAATTCGTCCCACAATAACGTATGAAAGCAAGTCATGGAAGTCTTCTGAACCAGCGTGAAACGACAAAATTACTGGTACTGGAAAGAATGATACTGTGGACTCTCTATGGGCCTTGCATAGAAGAGACAATAGGAGAATGAAAAAGAAGACACAATGATGAACTCCCTACAGTATATGGAGACGAAAACATAGTAAGCTACATTAAAACAAACCGAATAAAATGGGCACGCCACGTACTAAGATCGAGTGACGAAAGACTCCTGACATAGTAGCCAGTGATCTACACAAGATGAAAATACAGCAATGGGAAATAGCTGCTCAGGACAGACAACAATGGAGAAGACTCACATATAGATGTAGAGCCAAATAATGATGATGATGCTGTCTCCTTTCAAAAGTTTTCTTTCTATGTCAATATAAGGAGTTACAGATTTTCCTTGATATATCTCGAAATCAATCAAATAGCCCATCACTGTGTTTAGTCACCAGACTTTCTAACTAAATCGTATGGGTTTGGCTCTTAAAAATTGCTTGCACCTATGTTTACCGTAGTATTTGACTATACTTTCGTCAAAAGCCAGATCTTTTTCAGGAACAAAATATTTTCTGAATCTGTCCAACTATTATAAATGCATTTCAGATATCAATGTCTTCTAAAGGCAGTTCTTTTCTATAATGTTCATAATTTTCTTTTTAAAACAACTTTGCACCAGACAGATGATATTTAAAATCAAAACTATTCTTAATTTGAAATGTAATATTGACACAAGTTTCTCTCGTAAATAAATTTTAATTCGTTTGTTTTTACGATGCTGTTTTCTCCGGAGAATTAAAAAAAATTAGGATATGCCGCCTATGTTACCAAAAAATATACGGGCACTGGCAAAACTGTCGCAAGTATGTGCGATTAAGTCA